TCATTTCTGGTGTTGTCATTAGATATTTTTCTATGTTTTATTTGCATTTGTTTAGAAATAATAAATTGAAAAAATTAGATACAGGATGTAAAATAACTCGTGTTTTCTTTTTGGAATACTCTTTTCTCAGATTTTGTCATGTTGTCCAAGACTGATATTTATAATGCGAGCGTGGGTGTGAGTTTGAGTCTGACTTTTTTTTAAAGACAACATCAACACTTACACCCACGCCCAAAAAAAAGGAATTTTTCGTTTCCTTTGAAAAAAAAAAATGATCTTTTCGTAGCGTCGCAAATCGATCACACGAAATTTCGCTCATTTCGAAAGCAAAAAATCCATATATAAAATAAACTGTTCTTGGTAATTTGTAGAGCTTCTCACGCGGCATCTTGCGTTATATTTTATGTTTTTAAGCAAACGTATTAGGCTATAGAAAAATGTAATGAGCAGAAATGAATAATCTTTTCACAGCGTCAAAAAATGAGAGCACAGTATTTTGATTTTTTTGACAACAAAAAGTACATAAGTAAAATAAGGTTTCCTTTGTACATGGTGAAGCTTTTTATGCTGCATCGTGTGGTATATTTTGTTTCTTAATGAAACGTATTGAGAGATTAAAATACGAAAGACAGAAACCGACCATTCATTATTGATCACTCGTTATAATGACCCATACCAAAATTCGAAAGCAAAAATATATTGTCTATCGTTGACTTCAATATTAATTTTAGAGAAATCTTCTAAGTCCGGTCTACTTAGGAAGGAAATAATAATATAGGTGACAATCCGCATTCAGTAACTGTCGAAATTATTTAACCAGCAAGTAGTCTTTTCTTTCCCTTCATGTTTCAACAGGTATACGAATTCGGACAGTTTGATTTTCGTTGTATTGTAGTCCATAATGCATAGCATAGATACAGAAAATGTCAAGTCAGCTCATTAATATTTGAAGATCTCATTTAGAATACATTTTCATACATGCTGTCTCTTATCTTTCAAAAATTATTCAGCTACTTATTTTACTAATCTACTACACGATCATTTAACGCTAAGATTATATTCATGGAAAATTAGAAAAGATCAAATTGAGCTCTAATGTTAAACACTTTTGATTGTAACTTCATTCAATGATGGATTTAAACACATGGATTTTTGAATGCGTACCAGGAACTTGTCAACCATAGGATGATAAGAGACATTTTTTTAGGGTAACATATCAACGATTTTAATGATTTATATAGCATCAAAAAGGGTATAAAAACTGCATCAGATAATGTATCTTGACAGATATTTTATGTTGAAAACTTGCGTTAGAGGATTTCTGTGTATATACGAATCATATCCAAATGATTCATATGATCAATCGTATACTTCTTTTTATGTATCAACGTAGACATTAAGATATTTTTCTCAATCATATCTGTTTGTCAAAAATCGAGTTTCTCTACAAAATTGTATAACTTGTAATCAAAATAGACTGCAGCTTATCGAGTTACACTATTTAATTTTCTCATTAATACCATGAATACAAGACGTACCATTCTTTCGACACTAGCTGGGGATCTTATTTCACCAAATAAAAGCATGTAGAAGAAAAATGAAGTAGTGATCCGAACAGTATATTCTGTCGACTGTGATATCGCAACTTAGCTTAATTTTTATTTTGTGAAATACGAACCTAGGTTGTTATTGAGAGAATGATACGAGATATATTGACTGTATTTATAAGAAATCTAAATAGTGTAACTTGATAAGATGCCAACCATTTTGATTATAATTTAAACGATCTTGTAGAGAAAAAAAGATTCTTGACAAACATATGTGATTGAGAAAAATGTTTTCATATCTCCGTTGATACATAAAAGAAAATATATAAGTGATCATATGCAGCATTTCGATATGGTTTGTATTACAGGTAAGCAAAAATTAAATGAAGACGTCTAACATGACTCGTTTAGTCTGAAGTCTATTGTATCCGATAAGAAGTGGTCATCTTTAGAAGGAATGCATTCAACTACATCTAGACTAATCCAGAACTTGCTCTCACATTAGCATATCTAGTCTATTTTGTCTGATGATTCTTCTCAGGCTCTTCAGCAGAACAAACAAGCCAGAAAGAAAAGAGGCGAAAGATGAATTCGAACATTCGATCAAATAATAGTCGACGCCTAACGGATATTCTAGTAGTAAACTACGACATAATCATAGAGTAGCATCGAGTTCAATAGGTTAGAGAGACTAGTGACGCTTGTAGGTTTTGTATGAAATAAAAGTTAATTAGAGAAAAATAACTTGACTGGTCTGAAATAATTTTAACTGTTTGAGGACACCGGTATATACGTTCTACCATCAATTTTCAAGTGAAGAAAATGTTTGCTCTCCATTGAGCCAGAGGTGGAACCGGTCCGGCAGGACCGGGCCGGATTTTTGCCAGTTCATCATTACAAAATTGTTGCTTGCACCCAAGAATTTTCTCTACAGAAAACGGCTTTTTTATGATATTTTCAAGTCAGAAGAATGTATTTGCAAAAATACTCAATAGATATCTTGTCTTCAACTTGACTATAAACGATTGATTGTTCTCTTTATATTTCTATCGATTTCTTTCTCGTATATCACTCAATTTAATCTTGATCAAATAATTTATTCTCTTGTTCTATTTAGGCAGCTGCCTGAATCAAGAAAAATAAATATTTACGCTTTTGTGTTAGATTTGTTATAAACTTGCCTTTTTTTCTTGTTTGAAATTAAGATGAAAAACAGATTTGATCTGAATAGCTAATTTATATCGATGTTGGGCTCGGCAAGTCGATGCACCCTGCTATAAAATATGAAGGGAGAGTTCTAGTTCCAATTTTTATTTTCAGTTCGGATTAGGAGTGGCGATTTTCTGTTAATGTAAATTCAAAATAAATAAAACTTTTTAAAATTTATTTAAAATTCAAAATTTCTTAAAATTTATTTTTGGATTTATAAATTTATCGTAAATGTAAACTGATCACCCCTAGTTCAGTTTTCTGCATGTGAATATTCAATTTCCCCTTCGCCAACATTTTATGTGAACAGATACTTTTATAGTCGGTTATTTTCGCCGAATTTTTGCCAGTTTGGCTGTAAAATTCGTCCGGTCGGTTGCTGACCGGACCGGACATTAAAAACCTGTCCGGTTCCAGCTCTGCATTGAGCTATTATGATCTGTAAGGTAATAGACCGTCCTATCTCCCATTGCATGCATTTGTTTTCTCTCTTTCTCCAAAATCCACAATTTCATCCTACATTCACATTTGCACCTAAATTTTGCGAAACCTTGAAAGTAGATCAATACAAGTCTATTGTATAATTACAAAAATGAATAATAACTAGTCAATTTTATATCAATGTACAGATCAATTGTTATTATGTTTGTCATTTCTTTTTTAGTGAAATGACAATGAGAAAGAGTTTTCAAAACTAATTATGCTATCAGGAGTTTATTACATATTTTCTGAATACAGTTCCTTCTATTTATTTGACCAGATGCTTATGAACTAATTTTAAATTTTTTCTAGTTCACGCCAAAAGATACTATTGAACATCTTTCTGAAGAATAAACATTTAGTACTTGATTATATTAAAACTATAAAAGTATATTGAAGCGTAAAAATGCACATAAATATACTAAGTACGCTGTTTACGATTTAACGAAAGTTGCCTGTTTATGTCCTTTAAAATTTATAGATTGTAAAAGCAAAAAAGAAGAATTTTATTTAAAAAATTTATTTCTATATCTTTGTATGATTCTTTCACGTTATATTAAGCATAAATTTTGAAAATTTTAATTTCAAAATGAATTTAAACTAGGTCTATGAAAATTTCATATCAATTTCAGGATCTTAAGAACTGATGCCACTAGACATATCATTTTAATCCACCTATAAGATGTATAATTACTCTGTTCCAGGTCGTGTTTCTGAGCAGAGATGTCCATCGCGGCGCTGCCGCTGCCGCTGCCGCGGTGGCGGCGCGGCAGCGGCAGGTTTTTAAAAAAAATCACCGCGGCAGCGGCGCGGTAGCGGCAGATTTTTTTAAAAGTCATCGCGGCAGCGGCGCGGTAGCGGTAGGTTTTTTAAAAAGCCATCGCGGCAGCGGCAGGATTTTTTTGGAGGACATTGAAAAACTGTATGAATTTAATAGAATTTCAGGATTTACAAAT